AGGCTCTGTTCAGTGGTGCCAGTGACAGGACAAGGGGCAACAGACTTGGCAGGGTGAGGTTGACGGTTGGACTCGATGATCTTAAAGGTCTGTTCCAACCAAAACAATTCTATGATTCTATGCTCACGTTCCAGGAGAGAGCAAAATGCAAGCCATGCCATGAGGCACATCAATAGTCTTGGCAGAACTGGGGATGGTGAACATGGGATGTGTCTCTGATGGTATACCTCAAGCTCATTTTTTCTCACATACCCATATGACTTGGACTGCATTTCCTCCTCAGCCCTTCCTTGTTACCCCAGTTCCAAATTCCCTTTTCTTCTTGGGATCCTGTATGTGACGCTGCAATGAAGACAAGAGTACCTTCAAGAAGTGGGACATGATGGTTTCTTTCAAGGTGACTAGCACTGAGAAAACTCCGTGGATTGCCCAGAGAAGCTGTAGATGCCCCGCCCCTGGAAGTGTTCAAGGCCAGGCTGGATGAGGCTTTGAGCAACCTGGTCTAGTGGAAGGTGTCCCTGCCCATGGCAGGGGGGTTGGAACTAGATGGTCTTTAAGGTCCCTTCCAACCCAAACCATTCTGTGATTCTATGATTATTCCATTTTGCCAGGAAACAGTTAAGTGCAGAGAGAATGAGAACAACAGAATAGACCTCATTTTGTGCAAAAAACACACAAAAATGAGTCCAGACCTTCCCAGACCTACCTTGGAATTGACTAAGTCTGAATCTGGCCCTCCCACAAGCCAAGGTATACGAAATGTGCTAGATCCTGCTGCAAACAGCTCCTGAGCAAGGGTTAAAGCCAGGACGGACAAGTGGGAGGTCACTTGCGCAAGTTGCAAGAGAAGATGGCTGTTTAAGCAGGGGCCAACCAAGAAAGGCAGAGCTCAGAGTTTTTGAGGATAGCACCATTGCCAGTAGGTCACAAGGAATCTGGAAAGACTTGTGTTGAAAGCTGAAAACAGGACAGCTTCCAGCCTGTCCAGATGTGACATACTGCAGTCTGCCACGGAGTCCATGAGAGACTCCCTCTCTCCTAGAGACCTTGTGCCTGTGTTGAGGGAAATGTGTTTGGCTCCTCCCAGATGTCCCATTTCAGTGTCTTCTGCAGTGGAGGAAGAAAGTTGTTCCACCCTGCCCCACACCCTGGTGGCTTTTAGATGACCGTAGCTTCTGCGAACCTGGAATACTGTTTTCTTTTTATTTACCAGTGGTGGTCAGTCTATGCCTGTGGCCTGACTGCACGATGACATGACTCATTCGATTTGGACCATGCCACACCGTCTCTTGATAAAGTTTGATCCTATCACATTTGCTGACACATGATGTTCTCATTCACTGCCTCACAGATCTTAAAACCATCCTTCCCCATAAGGAGGATGTAAGGACATCTCTCCTCACACTTCTTTGCTTTCAAAACGCTGTCCTGCATCGCTCCATGCTGATGACCTCTGGCTCTTGACCAGGTTTACAGGCACTCCCCATAAAACACGGCGTCAGTGTCTTAAGCCCCAAGCACAAAACTATAATGGAGAGAGACCACGGCTCTTTTCAGTGTCCCCCAGGACCTTTGAAGGGAAAAGTATAAATGTGTCCTGCTCTTTGAAGGCATTTGAGTGAGACAAGTCTATAGCAAGAGGTGCTGCACAGACATGCTGTATAGATTGCCACGTACCGACCCCAAGGCATGGAAACCGTGGGGCAGAAAACCAATAGCCAGAAGCCTTCACCCATACCCCACTTCACTTCCATGCTTTTAAGCCATTATATTATGGCCTGAGCTAGGCAGAGTTGTCCATGCAGGCCGTTGCAGGATCTCAGTGTTCATGTGACAGCCCAGACTGGGTCATTGCAAGAGGCGGAGCCTTGTGGGAGATGCCAGACAAAGGTACAGCCTGCTCTGCTTCACAAGCTTTAAAATCTGGGGGTCACTATACACATTTCTTGTATACATTCCATCAGCCGGCTCGAAAGTCTCGTGACAGCCAGCACGTACACCCTGTCCTAAAGCACAGAACAGAGACATTCAGTTTAGTATGCTGCTCAGGTGACTGAAGCACCAGCATTTTACAAAACACCACATTCAGGAACAAATTATGTCACTGCTCTCTGCAATAAATGAGGAAAGTTTTATAGTGCATTTGATAAAAAACTCAACTTCGGCTTTTTTTTTATACCATTTAACTAAAATTTTATGTTTGTGATTGCTTTCTACAATACACAATGCAAATGGAAAAGAAATGTGAGGAAAATTACATTGCTCTCAGGGAAAATAATAAAACGTGCTGGAAACAAAACAGATGGTTGGCACCTGGTGGTTCTGCATGGCCCTGGGTGAGACTTAAGCTGTTCTTACGCTTGGAGAAGGAAAAAAGGCAAGGGGAACATTCCTGTATCTCTGTTGCACTTGCTTTACTTTAAGGCTCTTGCCATTGTGGGGTCTGGGATTGCGAGCTGTGCCAGAACTGCGGGTTAGTCCTGGCTGCCCAGCTGCCCACAGCCCACAACACTGCACTTTTCCCATAGCCTGGGGGGTGTTGTGCGTGTAGGCCAGACAGCCACCACGTGCCGAGGGAATCGGGACCTCCGAGCGCTGCACGACGCTTACACCTCCGAGCGCTGCACGACGCTTACCGCCTCCCAGGCAAAGCCCGAGGACAACAGCAGCCTCTCTCTTGCAGACAGCTTCTCAGGAGGGCTGAGAAGCGGAAAGCAACCCCAGCGTGGCGATTCCATCTATCTCCTTGCCCTCCCCGCTTCTTGAAGCACAGCAAACGCAGATCCAAGCAAGGCACTGCGCTACGTGCTGCTGTCTGAGCAAAGGGGACCGTCCGGGCACAGAAAGTTGGCGACCTCTAACAAACGCTTCTCTGCAATACCGTCTCCAGTGGTCCAGACCTCTGTAACACTCCTCAGCCATACGCAGCCTCAGAAGTAGGATGTCAGGAGCTGTCAGTCTGCTACAGCTCATCTTTCCCACGAAGCTATTGAGTGTGACAGTAAACACTCATCTTGAGCTAAGCCCGTTTTGAAAAATCCCTTGAAGGCGAACTGTTGAAAAACAGACTGTTTCAAATGGAAACAGCGAGGCCAATGCCTGTGCTGATTTGCTTTAGGTTTGGATACAAGGTCACATAGGAGAAACAGAAAAAAAAAAATCAGCATATGCTGCATAATGCGATTATTTTAATAATAAAAGTAGTCATTCTCATCTCTCGTTCAGAGAGATTCATTCAGTTAACCTGGAACCTAACCTCCTTCCTCCGCAGGTTGTCCTTAAGTTTGCATCAGTACTTGGTGGTGTGGGTACCACCTGTTGACTTCTTCCGTTGTCTCCCACGGAAATACTGCATCGAACAAAGCCCAGAAAGGATAAGGAGCCAGGACTGTTTTTCGCACTGGTGCCGTCTTGGGAAACTGGCTGGTTCCAACCAGCCTGCAAAGAGGTGGCTTCCACCCCCACAAACCACCTGCAGGAAAGGGGCAGGAGAGGTCCAGATCAAGGAGTGATGCAGTCGGATTTGATAGGGAGCGCCCATGCCCCAAGCACGACCTTGCGTGCCACGGTAGCAGGTTGGAAGGGCAAGGCACTCCGTCAAAAAGCACCACTACAGGAAGGATATCGCGACCGCTGGTACCGAAGTGGCTCTCCTCTTGCGTTGTATGCGTAATGACCGCAATTCCAATGCATTTTGCAAAGTCTCTACTACTTCAATAAATCACGAACAACAGCAGCGTTCAAAATGCATCACCTGAGCCATCTAACGCTGCCTTTTCGGCACACAAAATGTCACTAGGTGAACTGTATGTCAGATTTTGAAAGGTCATTTCCAACATCCTATTTCAGGAACATCTACTGTTTAGTTACCTACGGAGCACCCAGCACTTAACACACAGACACGCTCTCCTCATGTAGCGATAGAGAAACTGGCGCCTCCGGAGAGCCTGCTGCAGGCGATACTGCCAGCATTTACGCACGCGCGCTACACCCTGTCACGCTTGTGGGAGTATTCCTGTGACACCCGAGAAGACTGTACCAAGTCTGTGCAGCACATGGTTTAAGCAGCTTATCAGAGCCACTAGCCTAAAAGCACCCTCAGACAGACTTGACAAAAACCAACGTTGCTATTTTTACAGTTTGTGTCCTTCACTTCAAGAACCGCGTGAACTTGCAACCTTTCCCATATTACAGCGTTCAGATTCACCATGCCTTTAGACCAGCATCCCACAACTTCGCCCCCCCTAGATCTGCAAGGGCCCTTGAAAATACCTGGCCACCGAGCATCTACCTCGTGCAAGTTTTATCTACTATTTCTTGACATGAACATTCCACATCTAATAGAATTTCCGAGCTCACGGAATCCCCATCAGAGCGCTTCTAAGCGAAGCGCCCAGCAGCAGGTATCTGCAGTGCATCACAATTTTAAAAGTGTATTGCTCATTTAGCCTGTTGCAGAAGAACTAATCCTACTTCAGAGCCCAGCTATGGTAGGCTGTATACTCAAAAACTCTGCGAGGTGCAGGAATGGAAGGAGCAGTCTAGAAGCACTGTGAAAATTATCTCATTTACAGTAAAATCGCTTAGGAAATCCACGAATTTTGGGGGTGATAATGTCAGAAACGATGCACATGATCTCACCTGCTCTCTCTCTCTCTCTCTCTC